TTCGCCCATTTCACCTACCCCTATTCCCTGTCTCTGGCAACCATGAATCTGTTCTTTGTATCTATACTTTCAAGGCTATTTTTTTGTTTTTGTTTTTGTTTATTTTATATTCCACATACAAGTGAGATCATATGGTATTTGTCTTTCTCTGTCTGACTTATTTCACTTAGCATAATGTCCTCATGGTCCATTCATGTTGTTACAAATGGCGATATTTTGTTCTTTTTTATGGCTGAATAATATTCCATTGTATATATGTACACCACATTTTCTTTATCCATTCATCCATTGATGGATACTTAGTTGGCTTTCATGTCTTGGCTTCTGTAAATAATGCTGCAATGAACATGGGAGTGTGCATATATCTTTTCAAGTTATTGTTTTCATTTCCTTTGAATAAATACCCAGAAGTGAAATTGCTGGATCATATGGGTATTTCTAGTTTTAATTTTTTGAGGAAACTCCATACTGTTTTCCATAGTGGCTGCATCAATTTAACATTCCCAACCACAATACACAGGGGTTCCCTTTTCTCCATATCCTCCCCAACACTTGTTATTTTTTGTCTTTTTTATGATAACCATTCTAGCAGGTGTGAGGTGATATCTCATTTTGGTTATGATAGGCATTTACCTGGTGATTAATGATGTTGAGCATCTTTTCATGTGTCTGTTGACCATTTGTATGTCTTCTTTGGAGAAATGTCTATTCAGATCCTTGGCTCATTTTTAAAATCAGATTGTTTGCTTTTTTGCTACTGAGTTATACGAGTTCTTTATATATTTTGAATATTAACCCTTTATCAGATATATCATTTGCAAATATTTTCTCCCATTCAGTAGGTTGCCTTTTCATTTTTTTGTAGGTTTCTTCTGCTGTACAGAAACTTTTTAGTTTTGTATAGCCCCACTTGTTGATTTTTGCTTTTGTAACCTAACAATGTGTATCTTGATTATGGTAGTGTTTAATAGAATTTATAAATGGGATAAAATTGCTTAGGACTACACACACACATATACACAAATGTATATGAAAATTGGCAAAACCAGAATTAGGTGTTTAGTGCATTTAAGTTTTGTACCAATATCAGTTTCCTGGTTTTGATATTATACCATACTATAGTTGTATAAGATGTCACCATTTAATGGAAGTTGGTAAAGGGTACATGGGACTATATGCTCTATATTTGCAACCTCCTGTGCATCTATAATTATTTCAAAATAAAGAGTTAAAAAATCCTTACAAGTAGCAATTGAGAGCACTTATGTGGAGTCTCAAAATATAAAGCTCCATGTAAATTGAAGACAACAACAAGAACAACCTAAAAAAGGTAATATTCAAAACTTACCACTTCTTGGGGCGCCTGGGTGGCTCAGTCGTTAAGCATCTGCCTTCGGCTCAGGTCATGATCCCAGGGTCCTGGGATCGAGCCCTGCATCGGGCTCCCTGCTCAGCAGGAGGCCTGCTTCTCCCTCTCCTGCTCCCCCTGCTTGTGTTCCCTCTCTCGCCGTGTCTCTCTCTGTCAAATAAATAAATAAAACTTAAAAAAAAACCCACAACTTATCACATCTTTATTATTTTACTACATTTTATTATCATCTGTGCTGTTGAAGTTATTTATATATAATTGTATTCTTATGTAGAAATACTATGTAATGGTATGCTCTTGTGCATCTCTTCCTAACTCTGCATTCAGTGATGTAACATTGGTTGCTTGAAATCAGCTATGATAGGAGAATTTATATCATGGAAATCAGCAAACACTACAAACCAGTCTTCAGCATATCCAAAAATATCCATATCATTCAGTTTGAACTGAATGATAACACAACAAATCGAAATTTGTAAGATGAACTAAATTAGTTCCAAGAGGGAAATTTATAGCTTTAAATACCTCTATTAAAAAATAAGAAAGGTCTAAAATCAGTTATCTAAGATTCTACCTTAAGAAGCTAGAAAATAAATGAAATTAAACCCAAAGTAAGTAAAAGGAAAAAAATAATAAAGATCAGAATAGAAATTGATGAAATAGAAAGTAGACAAGAATAGAGAAAATTGAGACCAATAGCAGATTCCTTGAAAAGATCAATTAAATAGATGAATATGATTAGAAAAAAAAAGAGAAGATACATAATACCAATATCAGGAATGAAAGAGGGGACACCTCTGCAGATCTTATAGATATTAGAAAGATAATAAGGGAAATTACTAATAACTTAATGCCAACAAATTTGAATGTAATGTAAATACCTTGACAGACATACAAAGCTTAGTCAGGAAGAAAGAGAAAATCTGAATAGTCCTACTGTCATAAGGAAGTTAAATATGTTAAAAAATTAAAAAAGAAAAGACAAAGAAACTCCAGGCCTACCCCATTCCTACCATAGATTCAGAAAATATAAGAGGGGTTACTTCCCACAGTTTGACCATAGTTATCATTGTGATATTCAAAACCAGACACAGCCATCCCAAGAAGAGTACATATCAATAGCCTTCATGAACCTAGACACAAAAGTTCTTAACAAATATTATTCCATAAAATTTAGCAATATATATAAAAAATAATATATCCAATTGAATTAAGTTTGTAAGCTTGGTCTTACATTTGAAAACCAATGCAATTTACCACTAGAATAGCTAAATTGTTTTAAAAATTGATAACACTAAGTTATGGCAAGGATGTAGAGTAGCTGGAATTCTCAAACATTTGTGGTGGGAGTGCCAAATGGCAACAGCCACTTGGAAAAGATGGCAGTTTAAAACTAGTTAAACACACATGTGCCAGCAATATCACTCCTAGCTATTTACCCAAGAGAAATGGAAACATTGCAAAGATTTGTACACAAATATTCATAGCAGATTTATGTATAGCAGGCAGAAACTAGAAACAATCCAACTGGCTATCAATAGATAAAGGTATAATAAAATTTCTCTTATCTACACGATCAAAAACCACTCAACAATAAAAAAGAAACAAATTACTGATACATACAACATGGATGAATCTCAGAAACATTATGCTAAGTGAATAAGCCAGATGCAAAAGAGTACATATTATATGATTCCATTTAAATGAAATTCTAGAAAAGGCAAAACTAATCTGTGTTGATAGAAGGCAGATTAATGGTTGCCTTGGGCTGGGAGTTGAGGATTAACTTCAAAGAACACAGGGGAGCTTTTTGGGATATTAGAAATCTTTTGTATCTTAATTGTGATGGTGATTACATAAATGTATACATTTGTTAAAATGCACTGAAGTATATACTTAAAAGGGAACATTTTATTATATGTAAATTATACCTCAGAGAAGTTGAATATTAATATTTTTCACTAAGATCATCACTTACTCCTCAATCATCAGTCTGAAGTATTTAACCACTCTCTCCTTCCTGAAATATATGTGGCATTGCCTCCTACATCTCCCAACAGTTTGGGTTTCCTTTGTTAGCTTCTCTTTCTTCTCTACTCATTAGAGATAATCATCTCCCAATAATATAGTCTTACTTTCTAAGAGCTCACCTGTGCTCACAGTTCCCATATTACTACTGATAACTCTCAAATTTCCATATTTAGTCCTGACATCCCTCCAGAACCCAGGAGCTGGATTTTTCTACTAGTAAACTCAACTCCTTATCTCCCAAATTGACTGACTCTACATTGCTATATTAAGCACCCAAGCTCATGATCTCAAAGTCATCCCTGCTTCCTCTTCCTTTCTAGATTGAACTTCCCTCATCCCTATATCAGGTTAATTCTCAAGACTATCTGGTTCTCTTTCAAAATACTCCTTGCATCTTCCCTTTAAACTTCCACTACTCTTCATTACCATATATCCAGATTGTTGTAACACCCTTATTACAAACCTCTTTGTAGTACCTTTGTACTTTTTTCTCCTTGCTACATAGCATTGCTAGAGTAATCTTCATAAGATATCACTTTCATTTTCTAATTTTTCTGTTCAAAACTCTTCATTGTTTTCTCCTTTTGTCTACAGAAGAAAAATCCTAGCATTAAAATGTCAGTACAGCCTAGCTCCAACCAGTCTTTCCCTTAATTTTCTCTATGTAATCCTCAATACCCATTAAAATAATTAAATCACTACTTCTGTGCTTTTTCCAATAGCATGCTCTAAGCCTTAAATGCCCCTCCCCCTCTACCTATCCAACTTCTAGCCATTTTTCAAAGCCATGTCTTTTGCTCTAGCTGAGGGTGACCTCTTCTGATTGGGGGCCAACTGGTACTGTTCATTTCCTGCCTGGCATTGCTTTTTATTTTTATTCATCAAACATTTATTTATTTGAGAGGCAGCAAGACATGTTCAAGAGCTTCAGCAAATTATTTAACTTCTCTATGATTCACTTTGTTTAAAGGACCATAGCGAATGTTGTGAAAAATAAATGAAATTATACATTAAGGTTTTTAGTACAGCTTTTAGTACAATTCCTGGCATATAGTCATGCTCAAATATAGCTACTTAAAATGATGATGATGGTGATTTTTGAACACTAAGATGAACAGAATTCCTGTCCTTCAAAAGTTTTAATTTAATCTAAAAATATATTAACCTTCTCATTTGGATTCGTGACATTCTGGGTTTAGCAAATAACTTTTATAATAGGTATTTGTTTGACATCGTTATGACTTAGGCTCGCAGCGGGGTTAGACCCAGGGGTCATAGCTGTAGCAGCTGTGATGTCGGTTTAGCTTGTACTCTTTAAATTATTCAGAAATATAAAAAGTCTGGGGCACCTGGCTGGCTCAGTCAGTGGAGCATGTGACTCTTGATTTCAGGGTCATAAGTTCAAGCCCCATATTGGATTACTTAAAAATAAAATCTTTAAAAAATATATTAAAAGTCTATAAACAAGTCTGTCCATGCAGTATTTAGGAAATATGTTTCTTATGCTTTGGAAATAATTGTATTTTATCTCCTGTAATAACCTTTTAAATCCAATGTAGGAAGGGTCCTTTTTTTCCTCATTAAAGTTTAATCAATTTAGGACCAGGAGCTCCATCATCCATTCTAGATGACTTTCTTGAAGAATCTTCCAAACTGCGGTCTGACTCACGAGAACACATTTTACCCACACAATCTCAGGATCCAGCTGTCACCCAAAAACCATCCAATATACTTCTCAAGGAGATACCAGCGAAAAAAGGTACTTAGGAATAAAGATTTCCACTTGAAAGAAGGGCATAAACAAACTAGACAAGGATGAAAACTCTTATGATTACCAAAATGGCAATCTTAACTTGTTTGAAGTTGATTAGTTTGTCATATTGCCTAAGTTCCTTCATATGAGGCTAGGCTCTGATAATCCTAACTCAGTTGTGCAACCCTTTCAATAAGCAAGGATTTATATTTAGCTCAGAGAAGTGGCTAACTATAGACTTACAATTTTCTAACAATGATTCTTCATTTTTAGAATATCTACAGGTTGTGTTTCACATTCAGGAACCATTTCATTTGGTTGTAACTTGCATTTGGAACCAGCAGTAGACTAACCTTGAGAACTTTTGAGATCTTTGGGGACCATTGCTATAAAGGAATCTATTGCTTTTCAGATTATAACCTCTCTCATAGATTAGATTAGAATACTCTCCTTGCTCATTGGTAGTAATGTAGCTCACTGAGCTTCTGACATTTTTTTCCTTTAAATCTAATATCTATTCTTTTAATATAATGTTTTCAGAAACATCAAAATGTCAAGATTCATCAACCTTTTTGCATCCTAGCCCTCATGGTGTTTCCCAAACTCCTGCCACCATCTTCATGGAGACTATACATTTCTTGATGAAAGTCAATGCTGTTCAGGTCAGAATATTTGGAAAAGGGCAAGTAAATGGAAAGATTTTAGTGAACTGCTTATTCAGTCCATAGTGGTATCTTTCCAAGCTTTAATATGTATGATGCAGAAATCAAATATGCTTTTGAGAGCACACTATAGGTCTAATGGTGTGAACATCCAAATGTGAACCACTCTCTACAGAGAGCATCAGAACACCTCACTGCAAACTGTTCCCTCAGAATACCAGCAGAGCAAAATTGAACTCTAAAGGCTTATGTAGCCTGATGTCACTTTATTATCAGAACTCATATTATGTGAGTGTTGGGGGTTCACAGGCACCTAATCATATCTTTCTTCCTTTCTAGGTTGTAAACAATTAGATACATGGTGCTATGTGGGAAATAAAAATATTAAATTTTTTTTATTTGTATAACTGGGCTAGAGATGTGGTTAGCCTCAGATTTGACTTGCCCATACAGTCACAGGTAGAACTACTGGAGAATTTTCCCTCCTGCCAGAGAAGAAGAGCATCCTGTGAGGTCTACCTACCACATGGGAAACAAGAAATATATCCATGAAGCAAGCAGTAGGAGAGAGGGCAAGATCCAGGAACCAGGAGAGTTGGCCCTGATCCTGCAGAGTGCATGTTCCACTTGAGGGTGGCAAGCTCAAGAAAGGGCAAGAATTATGACCTGGCTAGGAGTGGGCCACATTAAATAGGAACTTTTAACACATTAACCTTTCCCAATAGAGAAACATTTCTGTCTCCTGGATTAAATAAATCACTATCCCCACCTCCTCATGCAAAGAGCCAGAAATGTAGGTAGAGGGAACAGCTCCAGAATCTCCTTCCACTATTTTTCTAAGAAGATATATGTTAGTGGGAGTTTCTATAGCATAGGCTAAGATGGGAATGGAGGGAGAAGAAAAGTAGGGCTTACCCCTTTGCTTAGCAAGTACATCTGACTTTGTTAAATTTGCAAACCTTATATAGCATTAAAAACGAAGAGTAGCCCAAAGTGTAAAACTGGAGAACATAGATGAGAGTTTGTCAGAAACAAGAGTTTCTAAGATCCCGAGTCTAGAATTTCAGAAAGGGAAGTTTTGCCTCACTAAGTTTCCTCAATAATTACACCTGCCTGAATATGTTACCTCTTGTGTCAGTAGTGGTTGATGAAATGCTTTTGTCTGCTGCATAACAAATACATGCAAAAACTCATCTAGTATGCTGACCAGCAAGACCAGAATTGTGCAGTACTGCAGATTTTTCACTTGGAAATGTCTACATTTGGTGACTAGGTGAATAGCTGGTAATGGAACCATGATGTGCTGAATCTTCATAATTCACCTCTAACCTTTTGAAGTTGATATCATTTCATTCTATAATATGTTTCTTATATCAGGGACATAATATTCAACTGCAAGAGCTATGGAACTGACACAATGCAGCTATTTATATATTCCTTATAATCTGGTTTTTCCTCGTAGTATGTGCACAGAGTGCTTGCACATGAGCTGTTATGCCCTCAAGGAGGCCCCAGCTGCGAGTATTACTTGGTACTGGCCCAGACACACCTACTCAAGAAGGACTTTGCCAAGGCAGAGGAATACCTTCAACATGCAGCCCAGATGGACTACCTGGTAATAACTTTTGCTAGAACCTCTTGAGTATAGTTTGGAGGAGGGGCAGGCAGGCTTTCTTAAAGGTTGTGATGCCATATCACAGGTAGATTTCTGGTTACTGGAGGTGGAGGTTATCAACTTTTAGTAAACTCATCTATTTCCTTCCATCTGTTTTTCTCAAGCAGTTATGAGTTTTACAAAGAGCAGAGAAAAAGATAAGGCTAGCTCTTTAGCAGATAACTGATTTATTTCAAATTTTCTGGACTTCTTCTATTTTCTCATTGTGAACATTCTCTTGGTTATGTTTGAATATTCTTCTTAATATTTACCCCAAAGACAAAATATTTTTGAAAAATGCAAGAAAGAAATGAGGAAGCAGACCTAGAAAAATACCAGTGCAACTGAATGGCCCTCTTTCTAATTGAGTGCTATTAGAAAAAGAAGAAGGACTTAGTCTAATTTTAAATGTTAAATAAAGATCATTAGTGGACTTTTAAATACCACCTCATCCCAGGTACCTTGTTCTTTACTTTCTCAGAACCCTAATGTCTGGGGCGTGAAGGGCCATCTCTATTTTCTAAGTGGAAATCATGCTGAGGCCAAGGCATGCTATGAGCGAACCATTAGTTTTGTAGTGGATGCTTCTGAGATGCACTTCATCTTCCTGCGACTGGGGCACATCTATCTGGAAGAGAAAGAGGTGAGGGACAGAGGATGGAGAGTAACCATGTAAATAAATCAGGCCATGGTCTGAGACCTGAATACAGTTCAAACATTAACATCCATCACACAGTAATATGATATTGATACACATTACATACAATATTGATACATACATACAATACATACATATTACAGTAACAGTAATATGATATTGATACTTTTAAATTCCAAAGATAAAGTGATTTGACCAACACTAGATAAACTAGTAATTAATAGAAGCAGGATTCAAACCCAGGCAGTCTAATATTGGAGTCTGTGGTTTTAATCATTATGATACTAAAAAGTTGTGTAGAACTGATTAAATGTTATTGTAGTTAATATTTAAGCTAACTTTCTTTTATTAGCAGTAGTAGAAACATTCTTACTTGACTTAACTAATGGAAAATGTCAAAAGAACTTCTTCAAACTTCTTCCTCAACATAAAGGTTTATATTTAATCCAGCTAAGGCTAACCCCATTCCACAAGGAGCTCTAACCTGACTCTTCAGCAATTACTCTCCATATTTTAGGAATTACCCTAAGACCTTCTAAAAGAAACTTTCTGTTATGGAAAATTTCAAATACATACAAAGTATAGGCACCTGGGTAGCTCAATTGGTTAAGCATCCAACTCTCCACCTCAGCTCAGGTCTTGATCTCAGGGTTGTGAGTTCAACCCCTGCACTGGGCTCCATGCTGGGCATGGAACTTACTTAAAAAACAAAAACAAAAAGAAAAAGAACCCCAGATACATACAAAGTAAACAGAATAGTAGAAATGAACCAACATGGACCCATCATCCTACATCAACAATTATCAACATTCACCCTTTTACTTTGTGCTTTTGTTTTGACTTCATTCCATTTCTACCCCCAGAATACCCAGTTATCTTTCTATTTAAAATAAAGGGATGCGTGGTGGCTCAGTCAGTTAAGTTTCTGCCTTCAGCTCAGGTCCTGATCCCAGGGTCCTGGGATAGAGTCCTGCATTGGACTCCTTGCTCAGTGTGGAGTCTGCTTCTCCCTCTCCCTCTACCTGCCGCTCCCCCTGTTTGTGCCCCCTCTCTCTCTCTGACAAATAAATAAATAAAATCTTTATAAAATAAAACAACAGCAGCAACAGGAAGTTGCATTGCCTTATAATTAAATATGAAGGCCCATAGGCTTAAGAGCGAAAAATCACTATGCCATTGCAGTGAAGTAAATAAGTTTTCTTTCTGACATCATTGCAAGCTGCATCTGAACCAAGCTTCTGACTTACATAGTCACTGGGCAGGCAATTTCACTAGGCAAGCAATTCTTAGCCTATTTGCTGAGTTAAATCTCTCATATTGGAGATGCAATATAAGAAGTGGTCTAATTCTTTTGGAAGTTTGTTTTTTGAGTTTTTCTGAATGTTTCCTGTATTACTCAGCACTAAAAAGAGATAGATTAGTAAACCATGAAGAAACATAAAGGAAGCTTAAATACATATTACTAAGTCAATGTAGCCAATCTGAGAAGTCTACATACTGTATGATTCCAACTGTATGACACTCTGGAAAAGGCATAACTATGGAGACAGTAAAGAGATCAGTGGTTTTGAGGGGTTGGGGAAGGGAAGTGATGAATAGATGGAGCACAGAGGATTTTTAGGGCAGTGAAAATTCTCTAATAATGGATACATGTCATTATACATTTGTCCAAACCTATAGAATGTATAATACCAAATATGACCATGGACTTTAGGTAATGATGATGTATCAATGTAGTTTCATCAGTTGTCACAAAGGTACCACTCTGAGGGGGGATGTTGATAATGGGAGAGAGTAAGCATGTGTGGCAGCAAGGGGTATATGAGAAATTGCTGTACTTTCCTCTCAATTTTGCTGTGAACCTAAAACTGCTCTAAAAAAACCTTGTGCCTTAAAAAAAAAAACAACAACAGTTTAAGGGCTCATTTTACTTAGATTGGCCTTGAGTACAACTACAGAAGCCCCATGACTATCCTAGCAATATAGCATTTGAAACTTCCAGAAGAACAATAGCTTAGTGGTGCTTTCTTTCTACAGTACGAAAAGGCAAAGAAAACCTACCTGCAAGCCTGTAAGAGATCACCTACATGCCTTACCTGGCTAGGACTGGGAATATCCTGTTATCGGGTAAGAGGATGAAGGCTCAAGACAAGGCCTGTGAATAGGGCTGACCTTGATTCCTTAGTCTTCCAAGCATCCTGGGAGTTTGTAATGATGGTGGAAAAAATTACTTTTCAAAGGTGTTCAGTAAACTAAACAGTCAATCTGTACTATAAAAATAAAACATTCTTTAAAAATCCCACAAAAACCTGAACCAGGAAGGTATACAATAAAAATACTTCATGTTATTTGATACAGAAGCTCATAATTTTATGATGTTATCTATAAGGAAAAAGTGATATGATAAATGAAGAATCTACTCAATTAAAGAAATTGACTGATGCTTATTATGCTCTGTGGCCCTTCTGTTTTCAGGAGGAGCTGCTATAGCTTCTGGGAGATCTTTTGCTCCCCACCCCTAAAAACTGTCTAGCCACCCTTTCCTCCTTTCTTACAGTCTTTGAAGGAGGTATGCAATGTGTTGTTCGTGTCCAGTTTCTTCAATGTATTCTTGATGCTAACACTCTAATTTTCTCCTAATACCTTACTCTCTTATTTTTGTCTTTTTCTTTGATTTACATTTTTAACCTTTCAGGTCTTTCCCCATTCTTTCCCCCTTCTTATTAAACAACAGTGATAACAACCAAATGAGTTGCCTGTGTTCCCTGTCCCCTCTTCCTTATTGCTGTTTTTTTTTAACCGTAAAGGTGATATATGTTCATTATAGAAAATTTGGAAGATAAAAATGTAAAGAAAACATAAAAGTATCCATAATCCAACCACTCAGTGATAATCACTGTTAACATTTGAAATGCATTTTCCTCCAGTCTTCTTCATACATATATGAAAGCAATTTTAATGTATCAAACTGTAAATAATATATTTACTGCTTTTTAATCTTTTTTCTACTTAAACAGTATAGCATTGATATCTTCTCGCATCACCAAATAGTCTAAAACATGATTTCTGATGACTTCATTGTGTTCCCTGGTTTGGATGTGTAAGTGAAATGACCATGTAATACTTCATACTAACCAGGACACTTCAGAGAATGGAAAGGGTGCTATTTATAATTACACTGGGACACAGGGACTGTCCCAGGCCAACTGGGACATATGATCATTTATACATAAGCTATGTGCTCCCCTGTTCCACCTTCCCAGAAAGAATATAAAACATTTATAGCTGTTAGAAAACTGACAGCACTGTCAAAAGTACAAGAAACTAGCTATACAGACTATTCAACATAAGTCATGCTTCTATTTGTTTTGAATAGCATAAACAATATTTTCATTGAGATAGAAACTAAAACAAAACAAAACAAAAACTGTGAGTTAAGCCTGACCACTAAGATGTCCAAGTAACCCCTGTTCCCCATCAATATTTTAGTCATACTATACCTATGGATATACCATAATTATTTGACCAATCACTCTTATTGGGCATGTTGTTAGTTTCTACAGTTATACTACTGTAGATGAACCTGAGATAAACATTCCTGGACATAAATCTCTGTGCTTAATTATTTTTATTTCCTTAGGATACATCCTTAAAGAATGTAGAAAAATTTAAAAGTCTTTAAATTATAGTGTCAGTTTGCCTTCTAGAAAGGGTGTATACTGATTTATACTCTGCCAGGAGGTATGAGAGCACATTTCACTGTTACCTTATCAACAGTGGGCATTATCATTTGCCAACTTGATAGGTATCTTAATTCGCATTTTCATCACTAATGAGGTTGAAATATGTGATACACATATCTCTTTACTTGTGAATTATCTGCTCATACCTTTTCACTTCATTGCTATCAGGCTTACTACTTTACCACTTTACCCTTACCACCTTACTGACACTTCTGACAGAAGTTCCCTTAACATCCTAATCGCTAAATGCCATAGACACTTAGATGAATTTCTGGCTCTTAACCCTGTTAACTACTTTCTTCCTGAAGCCCTCTCCTCCCTTGACTTACACAATACTTCATTCACATCCTTCCAGTTCTATGCCTTCTTCTCTGGTACCTCTTTCTCAGCCTTTTTTGCTGGCTCCTACCCTTTTACCTACCATAATTGTTGGGTCCTCCCAGGTCAGCCCTCTTCTACTGCACCATATTTATTCACTCTAAGAAAAAAATACACCCAGCCCAGTGGCCTAAACTACCACTCGTGCCCTAATGAATTCTAAACCTTTAATGCATGACACTTTTCAAGTTCTGACCTTTATATAAAACAGTGTAATGGACAGCTCCATTTTCATGGTTCCCTAGATACCTTAAAATGTGCATAACTGAGGGCGCCTGGGTGGCTCAGTTGGTTAAGTGACTGCCTTCGGCTCAGGTCATGATCGTGGAGTCCCGGGAGCAAGTCCCACATCGGGCTCCCTGCTCAGTGAGGAGCCTGCTTCTCCCTCTAACCCTCCCCCCCCATGTACTCTCTCTCTCATTTTCGCTCTCTCAAATAAATAAATAAATCTTTAAAAAAATGTGCATAACTGAAATATAACCTAACTTAACCCTGAAGGATTCTCACATTCCTTAAGCCTACACTTTCTCCTGTATTCCGTGTCTTGGTGAATGGGACTGTAATGAACCTTATCAACCAAGGCAGAAACTTAAAAAGTATCCTAGTCTACTTCTCCTGTTCCTTTTAATTAGGCATCAAATATCCTATTGATTTTGTCTCCTAAATGTCTCTTGAGTCTATAGTCTCCTCTCCATCCCTATTTTTATAGCTCCAATTCAAGCCCTTCTCTATCTGCTAGCATGATCTCCTGTCCTACCTTAATCCAACTCCCACATTGTTATCAAAGTGGTCTTTAAAATATGCAAATACTGTGTTACTCCCCTACTTAAACTCTTCAATGGCTACGCCTTGTTTCAGAATAAAATTCACATTCCTTTGAATGAATGTATATGACATGGTGCCTAACTCTTTAGTTTTATCACTTACTTTATTTTCCCTAATCTCTCTCTTTTCTCCAGCCCACATCCATACTTAAACGTTTCCTGACCACATCACACTCTCTTATGCCTCCATGCCTTCGTATCTGATATTCTTTTTACCAGGAATGCCTTTCTTCACCTCTTATAGCTAATACACTCCTATTTATCCTTCAGGACTCACTTTAGTAATATTTCCTCTCAGAGGCTCTCCTTTAAGTCCAGGGTACAATTATTCCCATTTTCCTATGTCCCTCCACTAGATCTATATCTGCTTTTATTATAGAAATGGTAATTGTGTAGTGGAACTATTTATGTGTTTGCGTTTTCTTTTTCTTTATTTTTTTTACATATCTGTCAGTGAACTCTTTGAGAGGTTGTATTTTATCTTTTTATTCACAGTATGGAATAAATTCTTAACAAGTAAAACTGATTGAATAATACTGATTGAATGATATTGGTTGAATAATATTGGTTGAATAATGAATCAATACATTGATTGAATATTGAATCAATATCTTAGAGACATTTAAAACATGGACCAAAGTATAGGCATTGCTGAAAGGCCACTCTTCATATTGTTTCAGGCCTAGAAACCCATAATTTTCTTTTCAAAACAGAAAAAAATGGAGAGCTACTATACTGGTGAGAGGAGTGCCTTATTTCTTCCTTAGGTGATCTTTTGGAAGATTTTACAAAGCAAACTCACTTTTAGGAAGTAGCAATGATATCCATGTGTGCAGAGCTCAGGGAGCATTCTAGAGCCTGAATATTGTATTGATTACTCAAGATTGTGCTATTAATAACTAATATTAGTATGTTGACAGGCTAATAGGACTTTAGCCTTAAGAAAGGGATGCACAGGAGTGCCTGGGTGGCTCAGACGGTTAAGCGTCTGCCTTTGGCTCAGGTCATGATCCCAGGGTCCTGGGTTCGAGACCCACCAGGGAGCCTGCTTCTTCCTCTCCCTCTACTGTTCCCTCTACTGTGTTCTCCTGCTCTCTCTGTCAAATAAATAAATAAATAAATAAAAAGAAAGACAGGGATGCACAAGAAAGGGATGTTATTTGGACATAATGTTTTCAGCTAAACTGACAACAAATATATCTGACATCCTACTGTGTGTGGGGAAATCACTGAACAACGCACGCATGGTAGTGAATACTTCTGGTTTTCCAATCCTGGCACCTGAAGCTCCATGGTTCATGGATGCCCTGATGGAACTGCTGTAGAGGGAAGGAGGAAGAGAGGGGTGTAAGTTGAGAGCCTAGCAGGCGGGACTCCAGATTTCTCTACTTGGCTTTTTAATACGAGCAGTTCTTCTTTTAACATGTTCATATATTGGGCTACCACATAAAATTTTGTTTGAAGAAAAAGTTCTGAGCTAAAATTTTAAAAAGTTGAAAACTGTATAGGTCACATTACCAATGTTATTTGGACATAATGTTTTCAGCTAAACTGACTCCAGCTGGCTTAAGGGAAAACTGCTCTGACTTAACTCACACTTTTCTCTTTCTATCAAGCTGGAGGAGCTCACAGAGGCTGAGGATGCTCTCTCTGAAGCCAATGCGTTGAACAACTACAATGCTGAAGTATGGGCATATCTGGCTCTAGTCAGCCTCAAAGTGAGTGTTTATTAACCTTACACAGTGCCATTTTAGGGCAAAGATGTAAGGAAGTAAGTGAGGCAAGAGATAGGTAGATGGCCATTAATGCGTGATAGTTGAGGTTTAATGAGCTTCAGATTTGGTCATTATACTGATGAGGGAGGAGAGGCCCAGTCTGAGAAGCTGCTACTTGGAATGTGCTCAAAAATCATACATTCACGTGTTTGTCTGGAAAGGAGATTCTAGGGATGCCTGGTTGGCTCAGTTCGTCAAGCATCTGCCTTTGGCTCACGTCATGATCCCAGGGTCCTGGGATCGAGTCCCACATAGGGCTCCTTGCTCAGCGGGGAGCCTGCTTCTCCCTCTGCCTGCCGCTCCCCCTGCTTGTGCTCTCTGTCAAATAAATAAATAAAAATCTTAAAAAAAACTTAAAAAAAAGAAGGTATGGAGTCCTCTCTTTTGGTAGAAATGTTTGTGGCAACATACTTTCCAACTATAATGTTTATAATATGTCATTATCACCAGCTGCTGCTCTTTTTTTCAGGCTGGACGGCAACTGGAAGCGGAGCAGGCCTATAAGTACACAATGAAGGTACGATGCAGAGGCCTCTGCTGTTTGTCTGTACTGTACTGAGGTTGGGAAACTGGGAAGAAGATGCTGGCTGAATTCAGGACTTTACAGCATTCCATCATTTCATGATGTGAATATTTTTCTAAAGGCTTTTCTTAGCGTCTTTGCCATTATCATAAGGCTGCTGGGTTTGGAATAACCCACATATTACTATGGGGGATTTTTTTCTACCTCTTTTTTTTTTAAGATTTTATTTACTTGAGAGAGAGCACAAGCTGGGGGTGGAGGGCAGAGGGAGGTGGAGAAGCAGGCTCCCTGCTGAGCAGGAAGCCCCATGTAGGGCTCAATCCCAGGACCCCGGGATCATGACTGGAGCCAAAGGCAGACACCCAACCAACCGAGCCACCCAGGCGCACCATCCCCCCTTTTTTAAAGATTTTATTTATTTATTTGAGAGAGCAGAGCTAGAGAGAGAACACGAGTGTGTGTGTGTGGGGGGGGGCGGTTTCTCCCTCTTTAGAGAATTTGGTTTAATGGAAAGACAGATGGCCAGGGAGTTAGTAGACCTGAATTATGGTCCTAGTTTTGCCACTAACTCTACTATGTTAACTTCTTTGAGCCTCATTTTCCTCGCTTGTAGACTGAAGGTATAGGTCAACAAACTTTGTGTAAAGGGAAAAATAGTATTTTAGGCTTTGTGGGCCAAACTGTCTCTATTGTGTCTATTACCCTCTGCCCTTGTAGTGCAAAAGGAGCCATAGACAATACATAAACAAATGAGCATGGTTGTGTTTCAAATAAAACTTTACTTAACAAAAACAGCAAGCTAGATTTGGCTCATGAACAGTAATCTGCCAAACCCCAGTCTATTCTACTATGAATTACAGTTCATAATTTGTGGCTTAAGCAAATTAGTTTTATTTTTCTCATCTAATGAAAAGCCCAAGACTGGTACCAGAGCTCCACCATGTCACCAGAGACCCAAACTCTATCTTTCTGTTCCACCAATCATAGCATGCAGTTCCCATCCTTCACAGTTGCAAGACAGGCATTGTAACTCAAACCACCATATACATGTTTCAGGCACAATAAAGAACAAAAGGGAGGAAAGAACAAAGAGGACATGCTAGCTATTTCACCTCCCTTCAAGAAGCAATGACTTTATGGGGGTAAAAGATATAGCATAGGGAATATGGCCAATGGTATTGTAATAGTGTTGTGTGGTGACAGATGGTAGCTATACTTGTGAGCACAGCGTAATGTACAGACTTAAGATCACTATGTTGTACACCTGAAACATGGTGTGTCTACTCATGAAAAATAAAGATGTTTAATTCACATGTACATAGTATTTGATGATAAAGAAAATCATTTCCAGAGGAAGGTTTACAGTTCATTGGCCACAACTGGTCATAAGACTACCCCTAGCTCTAAGGGAAGAAGGAAATGGAACTTTGTAGCTGGCTGCATTCCTGTCCTGAAAAGAAACGAAGATTTTGTTAGAAAGAAAGGAGAGTGGGTATTCAGTAGGCAACTAGCTATCTCTACTACACATCTAGAGGCTAAAAATAAATTCAGATCTATTATCTTTGTTTTGTGTGTCTTTGATTCCTGTGACTTGACAAACTGGAATACTGTAGTCAAGATAGACTGGGTGATAATGTGAATTCTTTTAAAAATACTTTATTAAAGTTATTTAACAAAAAAATACACAAATTGTAAATGTTCATACTACTTGAAGTTTCATAAAGCGGACATGTCCATGTAATCAGCACGTCCTGAGGTCTTTTAACGGAGTTACCATGAAATAGGGAATGATAAGGGAATATAAGAAGAGCCCAATTTCAAGCCAAGGAACTATATTCTCTAACTGTGTCCCAGTAAATGAGGGGTCTCCACATAGGTATATCAGGTATGATATGTATCCTCCCCTTCCTTCTTCTTATGCAGCTGAAACTAAAAGATAAGGCTCTGCTTGCAGAGATCCACATGGTACAGGAGACGGTTGGCTTTGGAAATCCATCTTTCTGACATCCTTCCAGCTGAAGAATATTCTGTGTGGGACTCTGAGCTCCTTTCCTTCCCAGAGAGATCAAGCCCTGGACATTTCACCATATGAGGCCTGTGGATGGAAAATACCGTAAACAGAAACCCATTCATTTCCACTGGCTATTTTACTGGATGGCTGTTACCGGATATTTTACAGGTTGACAGTAAACTGAGTAACAATAAAAAATGAAAAAGATTCAAAATTCATCAGTGTGGTTCTGGAGTTATTAAGATCTACTGAGGTATATGTAAGAATATAATTATTTATTTACATAAAGTAAAGTGGGTTCATTATTAGGGTTTCTGGTAAAAACTTATCAAGTCATTCCTGGAAGTCAACTTCTAAGGTCTCTGGCTAGGTTCACTTCCTGGAACTTGAGAATTAAGGCATCAATTTCTAAGGTGGGCCTAAAGGAAGACTGCTATGCTGGGTCACTGTATTGGGACAAACATATTAGTTGTGGCCAGACCCTTTGGATCCAGTGATGAACAGAGCTCAACAGAGAAGTCTTTGCTGAAGGTGGAGGTACTGACTACCTCTAACCACGGGTATCTTCATGGATCTAAATCACAAGGGCTCCAAGAAGAGTCCATTAACTTATAGATGCAAAACTCCTCTCAACTGAGGCCAGTATTCTAGGGCTAAAGATGACAAAGGAACCATACTTCACTCCTGTCCTCCTGGATCACTGCATAGCAAAACCAGGAATAAAGACCCCTCTTAATTTTTTAAAGAAGGTGCAGAGAATAGGAGGGAAGTGGGAGAACAGGAGGGAATGTGGAGGCATATTAATAAGAAGAATAAAATAAAACCTGCGTTCATTTATAGCCCGTGTATAGTCTTGGTTCTGACGCTACTTCCTTTATGAAGTCTCCCTGAGACACCAAGAAAGTTATCAGGTTCACCTTGTCCTCTGCTCCCCCAGGACTGTGTAGTGACCACCTTTATTGACTCCGGTGTAAACTCAGCGTCTCCCCACTTGACTGAGTTTCCTAGGGGCAGGACAGCGCCCTTTCAGCTAGTTCTCAGCACTGCACCTCGGCTCTAACAAGTGCAGGATGGATTTGTGCAACACTTAAGCACTTCTGGCCGCTCCCTGGGATTCTCCCAATATTCCTCACTTCATCAGGAACCCACAGTCCTGCGCAGGCCGAGAACACCCAGACAGCCCAGCTCGCACTACGACCCCCAGCTACACCGCAAACTGCAGCGCGCCTTTTTTGCGGCAGTTTAAGGCACGTTAGGGTTCACGGCGTTGCATTATGGGAAGTGTAGGTGCGGGAAAGCGGAAGGGCTTGGGCGAGCGGAGTCTTCGCTTCCTGCACCGGGGCGCTAGGGCTTGGGTTGGGGGCTGGTGAGGTCAGGGGTGTCGCAGTGTGGACTTCTCCGCGTTCTTCCACCGCCCTCCCCGCCGAGGCCGTAGAGCCGATCGGTGGCGGGCGGCAGCGCACTTGGAGGCGCGGCAAGTGGCGCTGCACCATGGTCCAGCTCAGTGAGTGCCCTTCCCGGCGGTCGCGGGGGCCGGGGGAGGGGCGTGTGGGACCCGACGAAGCAGCTCTCTTAGTCGAGCTGGAGGCAACCCGAACGTGAAACAACCACACTGCCTTACGTTTGTCTCTCTCCTCAGGTTTTTCTCACTTAATTCTTCCTCAACTTATGAGACAAATGGCATTCGGTTTATAGACTAGGCAGCTGAGGCTCCGTCGTGGTCACAGAGGTATTAAATGGCAGGCTGGTGTTGAGCGGATTGAGGAGGTAGTCGTTTCTGGCTGAAGTGCATGAGAGGAGTTTCACGAAGAATATATTATCTAAACCGGGTTGACAGTAATTGGTTGGATGTAAGGATGTTTCAGTTGAGGAAGGGGCTTGTTTTATCTACCTCGTTTTGCCCATTTTATGTACTCTGTTCTTGTGTTAACTTATTTCTCTACAGCTACTGTCCTGTGCAGAGCCTACCGCGGAGGCCATTTAACCATCCGCCTTGCCCTGAGTGGCTGTACCAACCGGCCCTTCTACCGCATTGTGGCTGCTCACAACAAGTGTCCCAGGGATGGCCGTTTCGTGGAGCAGCTGGGCTCCTATGATCCACTGCCCAACAGTCACGGAGAGAAAATCGTTGCTCTCAACCTAGACCGGATCCGGCATTGGATCGGCTGTGGGGCCCACCTCTCTAAGCCTGTGGAGAAGCTTCTGGGTAACTCACCTCTAGCCTTACTTCATTGAGGGGATTTTAAGGTGAAGTCAGTTTCAGGATGATAAGAGTTAGGAATGATTTTCATTACCTTAGGCTGCTCAGGGCTAGAGTGAAAGCTGAAGTTGTGATCTAAATGTCATTTTGACTGGAGACCCCTTTTGTGGACTCTTATGAGACTTTTTGGGTGAATGGGATTTTGTACTGTAAATAGGAATAGTGTGTCTTGAATGGCTATCTGTCCATTTATCTTTTTTTTTTTAAAGATTTTATTTATTTATTTGACAGAGACACAGCGAGAGAGGGAACACAGCAGGGGGAGTGGGAGAGGGAGAAGCAGGCTTCCTGCTGAGCAGGGAGCCCGATGCGGGGCTCGACCCCAGGACCCGGGGATCATGACCTAAGCCGAAGGCATACTTAACGACTGAGCCACCCAGGCGCCCCTATCTTTTTTTCAAATAAGGACATTAGTTTTAGGAAGTAACATCCATTATCTCCTTGTAGTAAATGAAGGGGAGGGAGTTAGGGGAAGAGATACGACAGTTTGGCGAGAGAGGAGCATGTTTTAAATCCATGCTGTAAGTCAGGTCTCTGTTAGACCTCAGCTCTGTGAGGCTAAGTTCCCAGGGAAACATTGACTTATACCATGTTGTAATGAATGAAAATCCTGTTGCTTTTAGGTCTTTCTGGCTTTTTCCCTCTGCATCCCATGATGATCACAAATGCTGAGAGGCTGCGAAGGAAACGGGCACGCGAAGCCCTCTTAGCATCTCCGAAAACAGATACAGAGGCTACAGAAACAAAAATGAGCTGACTTCAGTGAGCAGAGCATTGGGGAAAAGGTCAACACTTAAAACACTTGTGCAGAGCTCTTAGTTTTATTAGATTTGGAGGTCAATAAATGGAGGTTCTTGAGTCACCCATGCTCTTCTGTCCTGAGCTGGACTCAGGGAGAAATTTGTTCTTTCTGACATAGAGCTGGGTCTAGGTACTGATTAGCTTTTTTAGCCTTCATCTGGAAAAGACAGTAGCTCTGGGGTGTGTTGGATTTTGGGTTGGGCCCTGGATCTCTCAGACAACTTTACAGTCCGCTGCCTTCCAATACTTCCCTGTTTGAAAGCTCCCAGCAAGTCTATCCATGGTCCATCTATGAAGTTCCTTCCTTAATCATCCTACTAGCTCAAGAACAGTTACTTTGTTTTGCTTGCTTGCTTGCTTATGTATGTATGTATGTCATTGTAGAGTTACTTTCTCTTGTTTGACCCATAATCTCAAATTTACAAAGGTAGATTTTTTTTATGAGCTTTTAGGCTATAATAGTATAATTTTTAAGAATGAGAAACTGGAAGAAAGGTAATACCGAAGAGTACGTTCGTACATTCTTGACCCTTTACAAGTAAGGCTATTCATGAGGATTATTAGGTGTCATGAAAGTGGGTAAAACTCCATTTTGTTGATGGGAGGCTGAGGTTCAGATGTGGAAAGTTGCCCAATGCCATCTGTTTTCATTTGGGCAGAGCTAAGATTCAGCCCCAATATGCATTACTGGAGAGCCCTTTCCATTGTCTGCGGCAGGGTGAGTGTGAGATGAGCAAAGATGAGCTTTTCAAAAGTCCACTTGAAAAGCCAGTGATAGAAATGAGGTTTAGGTGTCATGAGTTTGGTAATATAAATGACTGGCTGTGCCCCAAGCCCAAAATGTCATATCTGCCTCACCAGAACTGCAGGACAGTAACAGTCATGATCAGAAGATTTTAGTGCACACTCTGTGTAATACAATTTCAAATTCTGGCATAAGACTAGGATATAGAGTTTATAGAGGAGACACTAAAGCCCTATCAGTGTACCAACTTATTTTGTTTTCTGGGTTTTATATATTGAGGACAACCCTCATTATGGGGTCAAGTCTCTCCCAAGATTGTCACTGGTTAGCCTCCCTTGCTTTGAGGGGACTTTGAAGGCAGGGCAGGCTGAGAAGAACTGACTACCTGGATTAGATTGTGGATCTGATCATGGATCTGGGAAAGAAAGATGCTATGAAAACCATGGGAACTCTGGAGAGTTTAAGGTCTTTGGATAAGCTTTAATTGGTAGAGCAAAGAAGAATGATTATGAAAAGTATTGACCAGTGAAGGGAACTGCTGGGAAATGGGTTAAGGTAAGGTATTATTTTGAGCTATTGAGTTTCTGCCAACTCAAGTATTCACTTTGTTCCCTGGTCTATCCTTACTCTGATCTGTATACACATGCTTCCTGTGTGAGTGCATCCTGTTCCCAATAATCCGGTTTTCTCTAGCTCTAGCCTTGCTCTGGATTTCTCCAGAGCACACAGTTTCTCACCATCTTTTAGTTGATTGCATTAGTTTATGTTGCTATCACCTCAAATCCAACATGCTCAAACCTAGCTCTTCATTAAAAAAAAAAAAAAAAAAAAGCCTTTGTTTCAGCAGCTTTATTTTTACTCAGATGAGGGTTTGGGTCATGTCACCTTAACCAAAGTGGAAGGTGATTAAGAACTGGAAGATGATTGGCAATGATTCTTAATAAATGTTACAGTTTTTAACAAGTATTTTGCGCCTTTGTTTACGCTTTTTTCTTGCAGGAATTAGGAAAGTACTTACCTAGGAGTCCCAACCTGTAGGTTGCAAAATTATCGGATCTTAAGAGTTTTGTGTACTCTTGTCAGGATCATTGAAAAAGAACAAATCTATTTAACGATGTTGAACCGTGTGAAATCGCCAAATGCCGATGTTATGCTGTTTTTTACTTTTAAAAAAAGGCAAACAAAACAGCAATGTATAGCCTCGACGTGATATGGACGTGCCATATACTGAATGAACTCACGTACTGGGAAACTGGTGAGAAGATAAGTGCCAGATTTCTTGAGTAAGGGGAGGAGGGCGTAGAGGCACTGGATCCCCAGCTAACCACACAGAAGGAAGTTCCGGCGGCTGCTCGGGTCTCCGCTGAATCTCTGGCCACGCCCTCGTTTTGCAGCCGCCGTAAAGTGCGACG